ATCCCCCATCCTGGAGTTGAAGTCTCGACATATACATAGAAGACCTTCATTCTGGTACATATATAGCTGTTCTAAAAGAGTTGTGAAAAACAGTTCACCATCATTAGGACGTGACGAGCAGGCTGGTGGTAAATAACACATATAGTCTATACATAGCAGGGTTTTGAAGTCAGGCTTCATTCGAGAAACTAACTTTAACCACAGGATGTCCTCCTTGCTGTTATCCATTACATCAACGTTATATGTTTGTAGCAGACTGTTCTTTACAAAAGCCCCTACACCACCGGATCCCCCATTAACTCGTTTATTTATATGTGTCCTATTATTTCCATACCAAGAGTATCCCTCCAAGTTAATAACAGAGTTCCTAGTTAAAAAAAGTTTCACAAACACAGAAAATGTCACAGTTGAAAGATTTTACAACTGACTCTTTGAATTTACAGTTTTCAGAGTCCCTTTTACACAAACCTCCGGTATTCTAGAATCCAAGCCGTAAGAAGTCCTATTCTTTATTTGCAGCCACTAATATCTTTCCGTGAAACCGATACAGGTCAGATTTACCGACCTCTTTAAGTAATGTCTGGATATTTGCCCTTGACACTAATTCTTCTTGTGATAAGAGCTTGATCAATAAAAACATGTGAAAAGTCTTTGTTGTTCTTCAAGTCCTTTTTTGATTTTAGCAATTTTACCTTTTGCTGAACTGATTCGAATTTAAATTATTACATGATCCGGTTTATCGTCTGAGCGTCTTTTCTAATGGCGGACACCGCTCTGACGTAATTTAACTTCAACCCATCGCGAAACACCTGGGGCGCGTTGCAAGCCACCAATCGCTTAGAGAAAGCAACTTACTCGCTCACCCAGGGGTCTGCAACAGTTCGAAGCGCTTGCGCACTCTTCCAAAATGGCGGCGCAACCACCGCTTGGTTGCCTTGACGTAATGAAGAACGTAATAGAAGAGGCTCGATGACGAGCTGATCAGATTTATGACTACTTTGAAGATGTGAATCCGACCGAGGATGATGGGGTGTCAGCTGCCTTTACTCATTTCCTCGTTGATCCAGTCAAGAATTTCTTCTTCCGCTGTCAAAGTCAGCCGCCATTTTGGTTTGACAACGAAGCGACCTCAGCCAGCGATTGTTTCGCTTGCTAGCGGCGTAAAGTTAGCGCACTGATGTAAGGCGAATCGCTGTACATCGCTTGCAAGCGATTGGCGCTTTGCAACGCACCTAGGGTTTACGCGATTACAGAGCACGTTCTGATCCTCCTTTTCTCGTTTAGCCACGGATAGATTTCTCATGATGACAGATTTATCCAATCAGTTACTACCTGTTTCACGAGGCATTGATCTTATTTTGCCTTCAATATTGCACACTTATTTTTAAAGTCAATCGTTGTTATTTTCACATTTTTTTCAGATTTGTCACACGTTGTGTCAAGTTTTGCAATGTTTGCAGTTACATTTTTAACCTGTTCGTCGAATTCACGTCTTATTTCAGCTATTTCTGCTTTTAGTATGCATGTCAGACTTACTGTCAAGCGAGCTTCTAAGTCTTGAAATTGCGTTTTAAATGCCTTTTACATCATTTTTACCGCTTCTACAAGTTCGGCGTTAGATAACAGAATATCACCCAATCCGGTGGTGTCACTAGGCGAAGTCGGGACTGAAGGCTTACGTTTTTCTGCTGCGCTTGGCTGAGAAGAGTCCGTATCACATTGGTGAACATTTTTGTTTTGTTGACTTAAAACAGCGTCACCATACCAGTTTAAATCCTGGAGTACATCGCTGGCGATATTTACCGACGTGTCCATATCCACACTCAATGACTCTGCCATTTTCAACAAGTCATGGTTGAATTTTGAAATTTCTAAGTTCGTTGGAATTTAACGCTCTTTATACAGTTATAAGACTCAAAATTAAATGTTTGGCCTTAATAAATCACATATATAGCGTAACGTCATTCGCTAATTGACGGATGGATGTGATTGAACACGATTTTGTTGGAAAATTTGCGAGAGCCTTGTTGAACACGACTTGTCTTGCCAGGGTACTTAACTTACTCAACGTGGACTTGTAAATGCATTGGCTATTTACCGGGCACTTTTTCCAGCTTGCAATCGTCCAAGGGCTTGGTGTCGCTGATTTATTGTCAATCTTAGCATGGGGTAGCAATTCAATAAATAATGAATGTGATCCGATCTACGTGGATATTTATAGGAAGAAGAAGTAAAAGAAAAATATTTTATTAACGTGTCACTGGATCTGGGTGGATTTTTTATAGGACATGAAATGGGGGAACGCATGTGCATTTTAATTTGCACGGAACCAACGTGCATGTGGTAACCATGGCCGTCGCCGTGATGCGTTTGGGCGATCTGTTTTATTGTCATCTGCTTTGGTTTTTTCCATCAAATTTCATTTTTCAGGATAAGGTAATGTTAAATTTTAGAAACTTTGACAAAAATTACCCGGATATTTAAATGACAACTTTTCATGCAATGTTACTTGGGGTGACGTTTCTTTTGCGGTTCAGTATAGTATAATCAGCATATACAACACTAACTTTCCATTTGAAGAACGACCCCCCACCCGGTTTTAAATTTGGTTGTTCCTATGTGTAATAGATTTATAATATAATCTTCATACATAACATAATGTTGTTCTACCCATTTAATTGTTTGTTTCTATGTATAATAGACATATAATCTGCACATACAATATCACACCACCCAACCCTTACTGTAGCTTGTTCCCATGTATAATAGGTATATGATATAATCTGCATATACAACACCATCTTGTCTATGAGAGAAACACACAGACCCCTTCCCCCTTTTAATTTTGGTTGTTCCAATTTATAATAGCTATATAATATCATCTGCACATACAACACCATCTTGTCTATAAGAGACACACAACCCCTTCCCCCTTTTAATTTTGGTTGTTCCCATGTATAATAGCTATATAATATAATCTGCATTTACAACACCATCTTGTCTATGAGAGAAACACAAATCCCCTTCCCCCTTTTAATTTTGGTTGTTCCCATTTATAATAGCTATATAATATAATCTGCACATACAACACCATCTTGTCTATAAGAGAAACACAAAACCCCTTCCCCCTTTTAATTTTGGTTGTTCCCATGTATAATAGATATATAATATAATCTGCATATACAACACCTTCTTGTCTATAAGAGAAACACACAACCCGTTCCCCCTTTTAATTTTGGTTGTTCCCATGTATAATAGCTATATAATATAATCTGCATATACAACACCATCTTGTCTATGAGAGAAACACACAACCCCTTCACCCTTTTAATTTTGGTTGTTCCCATGTATAATAGCTATATAATATAATCTGCATATACAACACCATCTTGTCTATAAGAGAAACACACACGCACCTTCCCCCTTTTAATTTTGGTTGTTCCCATGTATAATAGATATATAATATAATCTGCATATACAACACCATCTTGTCTATAAGAGAAAAACACACAACCCCTCCCCCCTTTTAATTCTGGTTGTTCTTAAGTGTAATAGATATATAATATAATCATCACACACAACATCATTTTGTTCTATGTAATGAATAAAAACAACGCCCCTTCCTTTCAATCGAAGAGCACATCCCTCACCTTTTTATTTGTTATGTCCTAATATAGAATAATTACATAAATTGTAATGACTCCACAGTATAGCATCCGAACCATCCATATAATCTCATAGCAAAAAGCACTGGATGAAGGTAAAAACAACTGAGCAATCCTTTGTGCCATGGGTAAATATGTCATCGCCGGAGAATAACCAGTCTGGATTAACCACCCAAACAAATTCCATTCGGCGCAAAGACACAACCCTATTGAAATTATATGAATGGGCCATTGTAAGGCAATGGTGACACAAGGTGTTTGCGAAAACAATAATATAAGCATACTCTGCCCTACCGGTACCACCCTCCACTCTCGCAATATGCATACAAGTAAGCGTTAAACTTTGCTGGGGGACGCCGCACAGCAGTTCCCCTGCCATGAGACGGCGACATGTAAACAAACCAGACAATCAAGTGATGGACTAGAACATTCTTCGACACAATAGCGCACTTAATGACGTTATTGAACGTTTAACCACACACGCCTTTGATTGAGCTATACAAATGTGCTGTAGACAGACAGACAGAAGATTTTATTTACGTCTCACTCGTGGGGATACATGCATATACAATTAAGAATTAAGACATGTATTGTACACGACCAATCGCTTAGCGATTTATGAGAGACACTTTAAAACTTAAGTAAATATATACAACAATGCAATACATTAAAACACATATGTACACACATAAAACACTATTTATGTAAAAGCTGGCGTCTCTTTCTTAAAATATCATGGCAGGCTTTGGAAGAATAAAAGCTAAGGTCCGGGCTGGATAAAATACATAAAAACTGCCCACTGGGTTGTTTACTTATAAAATCCTGAACAGTACGAATGCACTGTTTATAAAGTAAATCTCTGACATCTTTGTATAAGGGGCAAAATAAAAGAACATGTATTTCGTCTTCGACTTTATCTGTACAGTTAAAACAATAACGTTGACTAAAAGGTATATTTTCGTAGCGCCCCGTTTCTACACGTAAAGGAGCAACCCAACAACGGAACTTGACATTAGGCACTTCTGTGGCCACGGGAGAGTGGGTATTTTAGATATTGTTCTGAGGAATACTTTATTTTGTATTGTTTATAAATTCTCAATTTATTCCTTTCGTGGTTTCGTGCAGATGTATCTTTTAAAAGCAGATTTTTCCATTTTGTTATATATTCTTCAAAGACTGATGTCTTCACTGTTTTTACAAATAGCCTGGTTTCAATAGGCATCTCTACATTACAAAAGTGACCTAGGTCCATGTTACGTAGACGGGATGTTACCCTGAAGTTCCAACTTTCCCTTTTACACTGTTCCGTCCACCTGAATATTCTATTAGAAGAAGAAGGAGAAGAAGAACTTTTATTTGCATGAAGGCCTCGGGCCCATATACAATTACAGTTCACAATATACCAATTGTTCACAGATGCAACGGTAAAGTAACGTGACACATGACTTATGTCATAATTGAATTGTACTACTTGTTCTTTTTGCATAAGCGTAATATATAGGAAACGTGATAAACTGCTAAAGACTGCTTCATTGTTATTACACATTATAGATTTGAAATGGTTCAAGCTAGGATATCGACAAAGTTTTGCCGTTAAGTATTATTTTCTGAGATCATTATAACTTGAACAAATGAGTAAAAAATGAAATTCATCCTCTATACCATTATTGCAGACTGGACATTTTCGAAAAGACTTTTCTATCGACAGATATTTGCCTTCATTATTCTTCAATTTTAAAAGACCTGCTCTAAATCTTACAATTATGATTCTAAATTTTCTTTCATTACAAAACTGAAAGATATTTTTCAGGTTCTAAAAGACTTTTAAACTCTGCATATAAATGATATATTGAACTAGAGTGTAAGACTGATCTCCAGTTTTGGTAAAAGATGTTTATACAAGTATCCTTCAAAAGTCGTAGAAATGAAAGCTGGTTCCCAACTGTTTGCGATATCCATCCAAAACCAAAGCCATGGGAAAAAAGAAGTTCTTACAGGCTAATAGATGAACTTTTTCCAATTTGTCATATTGCTGAAATCCCCACACTTCAGAGCCATATAAAAATCTAGGTTGTATTTGCGAATCGAATATCTTAAAAAACACTGACTTTGAAATAAGATCAATTTTACTTAAAGTTGCAATCAATTCGATCAAAGCTCTTTTTGCACTTAGTGCTAGATCAGATATGCTATTACTGAATTTTCCTGATGAATAAAGAGGTAAACCAAGATATTTGTAGCTTGACACTACCTCAACCTCCCCCCCCCCCTCCTATAATATCAAATATCATTTTTTGAAAGCACCCCACCTCGTCTGAATCCAACAACTTTTGTTTTTCCCAGATTTACCGTTAAATTCCATTTTTCTGTGTGGGTTTCTAGAATATTCAACTGAGTCTATAGCCCCGTGACACTATCTGATGTTAAAATAACATCGTCGGCAAACAACAATAACAGTATCTCTATTAAATCAGGGAATAACTGTACATTATGCTTTCCACTAGAAATAACTTCATTTGATAATTCGCTTATGAAAAGTGAAAACAGTAATGGACTCAAAATACATCCTTGTCGTAGACCAGTAGGGCAGTCAAAATAATCTGTGAAACCTAGATCACATTTTACACACGATTTAACACTTTTATATAAACTTCTTAAAGCTTTTAACATTTTACTACTTATACCATAAGACATTAAGAGATTCAACAACTTATCACGGTTAACAAAATCAAAAGCCTTTCAAAATCTACAAATGCAGCATAAAGTTTTGATTTCTTTTTACATAAACATTTCTGAATAATAGCATACAGAGTAAATATGTGGTCAGTGGTTGCATAACCCTTTCTGAAACCGGCCTGTGTTTCTGGTATTCTGTTCTTGATGTTTGCCCATATAGTTAGTCGTTTACTTAAAACAGACGTGTAAACTTTACCTATAACACTGAAAAGTGAAATACCGCGATAGTTATCAGGATTACTTTTCTCTCCTTTTTTATGAACAGGAATGATAATAGCTTTTGATCAAACATCAGGAAAAACACCAGACTCAAATATTCTATTAAATAACACATTCAAAAAGGGCATGACATCAGAGACTTTTAACATTTCAATTACCACATCATCTATACCTGAAGCTTTGCCATCTTTCAAATGAGATATAGCATTATGTATCTCTTCATCGGTTATAGTGGAGTCCAATATATACTCTTCCACATTGTTTACCACATTAGCAAAGTTGGGTTCTAAATTTACTTCGTTGTCTACATTCGATGAGGAGACATTCTGATCACATAAGATATCAGCATTGAACACATTGCTAAAAATGTTGACTTTTGGCAGACAAATTTATATCTATTCCATAAAGTACAGTATTGTCTTCTGAATAAGTTTGATTAATATCTCCGAAATAGTCTAAGATATTTCTTAGCTTTATGCTTAGCTATCCTACACTCATAACTGTAAAATCCATTTCTAACATTTTTATGGTAAACTGTTTTTTTCATACAACTTGCAGCATCTAGCAAAGTGGAAACAAACATATCAAGAGCTGAATTGATGTTGACATTAACGCTAGCCATGAGATTAGCAGAAGTTGCAAAATAGATCGATTTAAGGTTGTCAACAAATGTATTGACATTATCCACATTCCACTGGTATTTGGATGATCTACATTCTGTTGAATCATCTACTTCTACCTTACTAATGGGTGGCCTGTTAAAATATAGCAACAAGGGCATATGTTTTGAATCTAGCCTCTGTTCGACTGTGAAGCGAGTGAAGTATTCAAAAAGAGCAGGAGAGGCAATAAAATAATCAACAACACTACAACCTTGGTCAGATACATAAGTAAATTCCCCCTGCTCATCCCCCTTGAACCTCCCATTTAAGACATAAATGTTGAATGCAAAACAAAAATCTAACAACATTTTACCAAATCTATTCATAAATGTATCCGTTGAAGATCTCTCCACGACATGCACAGGTTCCTCCTCGGGGAATACACTTGTTTCCTCATCATTACCCGGCTCAGGGTGATTATTGTTATTACCAGTACGTTCATTTAAATCACCACATACCGGTACGTAAAAATCTAACAGTTCAGATGAATGTTCAATCAACCACTGTTCCTGTTGTTCAAAACTTGTTCTTTTTCCTGAGGTATCATAGTAGTTTGATCCATATGGCGGTATGTACATTCCAAATAAAAGAATATCTTTATCACAACCGAATAGGCATTTAGATAATTTTATGCAAATGGCATTATCAAAAGACAAGGGGTATTGAACGCAATAAGAAGATAAAGCTTTCTTCACATACATACATACCCCACCTGACAGTCTACCGTAATTTGCAATTTTATGAGCTTTGGCAAAGTAAATATCATAATCATTTAGTTCAGGAGCATCAACAGTTTTATCAAGGAAAGTTTCTGGTAAAATAACAATATCAAAGCTTCTAATATATTCAATGAATTCATTGTCCTCTAACTTCTTACGAAGACCTCCAATGTTCCATGACAAAATTGAGCAACACTTATCACCATTGTAACCAGATCCAGGGCCCTGGCCACACCCTCAACTTCTCTTAGTGCTCGATCGTGAAACACTCTTAGAATCTCTATGGGTAAACTGAGTCCTGTCACTGTTGTCCTCTTCCTGTGAAGCTGTTTTCCGTGCTGTCCTTTCTGCATAGGTGTCCTGTTGTGTAGATGTCTGTTGACGTCGCTGCCTAGTTTCCCGACCTCTCGCTTGATCCTGTTCCAAAGGCTTGGTGAATTTCGTTCTATTTTGAGGTATGCAATTAACCCCTTTTCTCTCATCTTAGAAATATTTTCGCGCTGTCGCTTCGTGAGATCATTGGCAATACCAATGTTTGCATTTTGTAGATTTTTTCGTGACTGAAGAGCTAATATTTTGTCCTCTGTAAAGGAAAACTTAGCGATTAATGGGCGTGGGCTGTCTTGACCATCCGATCATTTTGGTCCAATGCGATGCGCCCTTAAAATGTCTTCCTTCTTCCAGGTCTTCTCCTTCGCGTGGCTATTGAGTGTTGTGATCACAGCTTCTTTAGAGGTGTCATAATCTTCCTTACTTGACTCCTGTATCCCGTAGAACACAACGTTGTCCCGCCTACTAAAGGCATCAAGCCTGTTCACACTATTTTCAACAGCACCAAGACCACGATCTAACATTTCAGTTTTCTCATGTAAGGCATCTATATCACTATACATGATTTCCTGCTTATGCTTAAGGCAATTGACGTCAGTTTGGATACTCTTAACTGCTGTTCCAAGTTAGAGCATTTGACGCCGACCTGATCTAGTTGAGATTTAAGCCCATTCACAGACCCCTCTATAGAAGATCTAAATTCACGCATTTTCTCCAAAATCGCTGTTTTCATAGTATCGAGGTCTGACATTGTCACTGGCCCTTGAATATTCTATTGTTTAAACGCCTCTGTGATGTGTTACACATTCTGGCCCAGTGTCTACACACAGCTGCCCACTGTCTCACTATTGGAGGTACCCAGCCACTTTCACCATTTACTGCTACATTTGGGGCACACTTTCCGAGTCCCAAAAAGAAACGTATAGCTCTGTGGTGTAGAGCGTTTACTGCTGAATACTCTGCTGCTCCGTAGCTCAGCACCGACCATATCATTGTATCATAAAGTTTGGTATATACATTAAATGGCATACCACCTTGTGCTTTACATTTTGAAAATCTCTGGATGTAGGTATAAACACTGAGCAATCCTTTGTGACCTAGGTAAAATATAAAACGTCAACGCCAGAGAATAACCAGTCTGGATTAACCACCCAAACAAATTCCACTCGGCGCAAAAGACACAACAGCAGTGAAATTACATGAATTGGCCACTGTAAGGCAATGGTGACACAAGGTGTTTGCGAAAACAATAATATGAGCATACTCTGGGCTACCGGTACCACCCTCCACTCTCACAATATGCATACAAGTAAGCGTTAAACTTTGCTGGGGGACGCCGCACAGCAGTTCCCCTGTCGTGAGACGGCGACATGTAAACAAACCAGACAATCAAGTGATGGACTAGAACATTCTTCGACACAATAGCGCACTTAATGACGTTGATGAAAGCTTAACCACACACGCCTTTGATAGAGCTATACAAATGTGCTGTACATAAATTTCGTCTTAGTACGACGCATGACCGCATTTGAAAAGGGTAGAAGGTTTGTCAAATGAAGAACAATGTACTGTAACAAAGGACTATTGAGACCAGAGCTTGCGGGACTGCCACCAGGTTCGGCTTTAGGACCTCTGTTATTTTTAGTAATCATAAATGATATAGTGGAAAATTCCATTATTTGCTGATAATATATATATATATTAATGTCCCGGAATCATCAAGCACTTTTCTAAATAGCGACATAGAATCGTTATCAACATGGGCAAAAGCGTATGTAGATCATTTTGATCCTAACCGAACATTACCATTTTCTTTTTTAGAAATAAAACTCAAATGCCAAATATCTTCATGGATGACATCAGGATTGAATCAGTTTTTGCTCATAAACATCTTGGATAAATTTTGCAGTGTAATGGTCAGTGGGGAACCCATATCAATGATATTATTACAACTGTGATCTCAATGATGTTATTACAACTGTGATCTCAATGATAGATTATTTACGAAGTTTGAAATGTCGCCTTCAGAACAATATCCTTCTGATACTATGTACTTTAAAATATGAAATTAATCCGACGTCGACCCCTGGCCTAATCTTCATCATAAAATAAACGTGAGTAGCCCTTCCTTTTTTTAAAACTATAGGAACTAATCATCAAACGATAACACCAAGACGGCAGACTAAGAATGCAATGCGACTCTTGCTCTGAAGTTGTTTGATCAAGGTTACAACATTGAAATCCTCATTAAAGCTTCAACATGTGTTATGGTAGACTTGTGGACACTACGAAATTTGACGGATGAGTGACCAAATATTGATATGCCTGTACAAGAATCAACAGTTAAAACATTTATACATTCGATCGTTCCCAGGAAGTGCGTTGTACTTACATATGTTCTAAACATTATACATATGTGCACTGAACATGTCTTTGAAAACTAATTTTGCATGTTGACCAATCCAGCATTTGTTTTTGCAAATAAATATTGTTCACATCACTGTGACCTGTCTGATAATTTAAGTTCAGTGCTGTAGTTTTGTGCAGTCTTAATTATGCACACTCTGCATTGTTGTGTAAGAATGTGTTCCTTCTAGCACAGTCCACAAATTGGCCTTCACACTCTGTCGTGCATAACACACCAGTTTACGGTAGAACGCCTGTCCCCATTGAGTAGTATACATTTCCGTCAGAGGTTTACGCAGGTTGAATTTTCATTTCCGAGAATCGAAGAGAGTAATAATATCCCTTCCACTTGGACCAGCACACTCCGGATGCGTAGTTCGTGTTGTTGTATTGGCCGTTGAGCTGAGAGGAGTGACACGATCCATACCACCAGCCACTAGGGTAGAGAGCGCCACAGTTTGACGAGTGGGCGTCGTTGTCTCGGTCAAGGGTTGTAAAATTGCGACCGTTTCCATATGAGAAACTGTCCTCTGTCAAAAAAGACATAATGTGTTTGAGCTGCTATACATATCCATATCAGTTCATGGGTAAATCGAAACTTTCGTGGCCTCATAGATATTGCTTTGTGTAATGTGAGGTTTCGAAACGTATCTGAAGAATATCATCTCGTGAACATATAACATTGAGTGATAGACATTTTGACATTGTTGGCGATCATTTAACCAACTGCTAGCGGTTACCCCACTTGTCAGAGTCACATAACTGATCACCAAATTCATTTATAATAGTGAAGAAAAAAGGTTTATCAAATCATGTTACCTGTGACATTCCTGAAGTAACATTTCTTGGTAAGTCACGGTTCACAATTCACCTAAGGCCAACTTAAATGTCAAATTTATTTCTTCATGTGATTTAATTCATAAAAAAACTTGTGCCAAAAGAATTGTTGATGGACTAAAACTCTAATCACCCTTAAGATCACTATTGCTATTGGAATCAATATTGGGTCAGTACAGTTGATCGCAACTAACACTCCATATGAGCAGGTTGTGTGCAACATGTGTACTCAGAAGTTTGACACCAAATCAGAAATTGAGCCGAGTGGAAATATACGAGGACCTTTGTGAGCAATTATCCCCATAATCCTAGTCATATTTAAAAGACGAGACCTGGATATGTCCCTTTGATCAAAACATCCGAGGAGAAGTGAAAATATTTGTCTCAACCCCTACAAAAGAAGTTCAATCGGGTGACGTCAGTTGGTATGTCATGGATTAGGTTATCTGGACATTTGAGGATATTCATGATTGACTTTCAATGGACAATGCTACACCACAGAACTACATCCGCCGAGAGAAGCTATCAAAGAAAAACGCCTAGAAAAGTTCCGATCAGCTGTGCTACTGCTTCAGGCCAATGCGCTGTGTACACGTCATAATTTACAGTGGCTTTGAATTACCTTACCGTATCACTTACTCCCCTGACCTCGCACTCTTTGACTTATGTCTTTTCCCAAAACTCAATTACAGACGTGTTACCAGTAACCACAAGTTTCGTCAATCATGGTAAAGTCTCAAAAATTATACAAAGTCTATATTGCCTGATCACCAGCTGGTTATTGACAATGAAAGGGACTCAAACTGTCGAATGATTTGCAGTACTTTTAATCGCTGAAGATTTCTAGGACAAGAAATGTCAATGGCTTCAAATACATCCCAAGGCATTGATAATAAATAATTTATTGGTACAACAAATGTTGACTGCTTTTCTCAATTCAGGAACAATACCGGTGCCCCTTAATCTTTTTTGAGTAAATATTGTGGTTGGTACTTTCAAGAGAATGTATTGTTATTAACCGAAAGTACGGAGTTAACCATCGTGAAAGAAGGGAGAAACACATGCAATACATCGGGCACGGAGTGGTAAAGGCCAACCGGAAAATACTCACGACACTCTCCCGTGTAGCCACTGGTGGACAGCATGTATAATCCATCCTCGTCGGCTAGAGCGAATTGGTCATAGGTGGACACACAGGTATTGTCTTCAAAGTCTGCTAGGTCGATACGAAGCTTGTAGTCTTTCTGAGACGTTAGCCAATGGATGTAATCATTGCCTTAAACACAGAGATAATGTGAATCGGATTTAAACAGATATATTTGCCATTCTTAATAAATAGTATCAAGGGGTGGGTTTATCACCACGTACGAATATTGATTCCTAGACGTTTCAAAATGTCCGGAGGTGCTAAAACAAAATCTTGATCACGGAGGTACATGTAGTGGATATATCTCTGAGTGATGAGCGGATGAGGGAGTTTCGTTTGAACATTGTTTCAGTGATCCCACGGTGTGTCACGAAAGACTGGCGTGAGACGTTTACCAATTTGGTGAAACCCAAGAGGACGAGTTTGGTGCTGACAATCCTAGAAGCATAATCAGGACGAACCGGGATTCGAACCCACGATCACAAGTAATCAGAACGGCTTAGATGACTAGACTGCACATGCCTCCTCAAAATGATGAGGTTCGCGGGTCTTATCACATGGTCTTTGTCAAGTTTTTAAGGACATATTATCTCAAAGTGATAATGTAAAGGATATCCTAATCGACAGACGGACATAACTTCTCGGAACTGGCTGATACTGTTACAGTTCCTTTCCCGACGGCCAGAATGATGACCTCACTGACTTCACTGGAATACCAACCCCTCTAAGTGAATTTGATATTATAATACACACTGTCACCTGACACTAGTTTTAAAGTCGCATCTGACTGTGCCAATATGAGACACTAAACAAAGACACAAATACATTATCTGTATGGAATACAGTTACGGACATTCTCGCGTACTCGTTTTCTAGCGATCCTGACCTTTGCAAGCAAGCTAATATGCAAATAATTCGAGAATTCAACAGCGGGAAAACGCGCGATTTGGCCAAAGCTCGCGATCTCGTATTGTCGTGTTTTTTGTACATAGTACTTTTTTGTAAAAGAATGAGAACATGAGAATGCGGCATTTGGACATGATGTAAAATACCACAATCTCGACTTTCCAAATCTGGCCATATAATACGAAATCGTGAGAACGCGAGAATGTGACGTTTTGTCTTCTCGCGCTCTCGCACTTTTGTCATGTGTAGTTAATTTGACAAGAACGCAACAATGTCCCTTTCAGTATTTAATACACGTGATTAGCAAGTAATGACATGGAAAGGTCACCTCTTAACCAGTGAACCGTCGTGTCACGGAGGCATTAGTAAGAGATATTGTAAGCAGCTGTATAAACACATTTGTTCGACCGATATTTAATATGCACAGGGAAAAGGCAAGTTTGACTGTTATTCAGAAGAAAGACTGATCCTGGGATATTTTAGTACTTTTTGTTTAATATCAATTCTACAATATACACTATAGTTACGTCCCCATTGGCGGATAGTCTGGAAGTCACTGGGAAAAACTGGGAACAAGTACAATGATAACATACATGAATGTTACAAACCATCAGATAAGGGACTTCATTGGTAAAGAAATCACATTTGACTTTTCATTCTATTTTAAAATTCAGCATTTACTACAATTCACAAGCTTTCATTCATTGTTATTACACAGATACATAGTGATACAAACTGACGTCAAAGCACAATTGTATCCCAGAACCCATAAAGTCCTTTTTCTCCTGGTGGGTCACATATAATGTTATATATACTCTCTGGTCTGTATCATACCTAGCCAAAATTCAGTCCCCAAATAGCCGAATCCTTCTTTATACTCGTCCCAGGTTCTCTTAAAATCCACCGACCCATCCATTCGCCTCTGAATTACCTGCAGAAAAAGATTTGTTACCATTAAACGTCTTGACAATACAAACATGTGTAGCAATGGCAAATTCTAGATTTCTTATCTGTGCATGAGAGGAACCTACTTCTCATACCCTGCTGTAATGTAGCAATATACAGCTACATATGGACTTATTACTAAGCAGCCGGTGTCATGTGACAAACAGGTGGTCTGATCACTAAACACCTAGCTACACGTGACATACAGGTGAACCCATCACTAAACACCTTGCTGCAACACACGCAACAGACAGATGAATCCACAACTCAATCTCTAGCTGCAGATGACATGCAGGTGAAACAAACAGCAACAATATGCGGGAGTTGAGCATTGTTCTAACGCTTCAAACACTGCTTAAGTTGAAATAATACGGAGTGACAACATACTGCAAAATGTGTTGCAAAATAACGCTATAAATTCGGCATTAGTCCAGACCAGTACAAACAACCACAGCCACACAGCGTGCATGTACTTCGTTATGTAAGTGCAATAATCTTGAACGCGACGTTAACCCCTATTTCACCGCACCATTCGTCCATGTTACAGTGAACAAATACTGGTATTTACACCTGTAAATGATCAGAATTCATGTAGTGTGTGGACCTGTACTTACCAACCAGCCCCCGCCTGGTGTCTTCATGTCACAGTACACCTTGACAGTTGCATCTCCACCTCCTGGAGTCACGGTATAGAGACCGTCCACGACGCCGTACTTATAGGCGTCCGAGCAATCTAACAAACAAATGAAGACAACAGTTCACGAAGCTGTACTAATAGGCGTCCGAGCAATCTAACAAACAAATGAAGACAACAGTCAACGACGTCGTACTGATAGGCGTCTGAGCAATCTGGCACTCCTGAAGAGCAACCTTCACGTGGCGAGTGCTAGGTAACGCTTATCGCTCTTCCCCCGTGTGGACTCGGGGTAGAATGTGTCCTCAGCACCCCATTGCTTGTTGTACGAGGCTACTAAATTTGGCAACCTGTTTGCGCCTCTGTGTCGGGGGAGGACGGGATTCTGATGGTTGAGGGCACTGGAGCCTGGAAGGTGTTCCTTTTGCCCAACACTTCGACCCTTACTTCACCTAGACGAGTGGTAGAATTGGCCCGTTCCTATCAATCGGCTGGTCACGCCATGCCCAGTGCATGGAATAATTGAATGGAATAAGTTCGAAATATATCAAACTAATTTTGATCAGGATATTTTATAACCTTGATTATGTGAGTTTCACTTTTGCCTAGAGTCCTTTGCCAGTAGGCGGTGGCTCATGGACCAATCTGGTACTTTCGACCTCTGAGTTCTGATGGTCTTAATAAAGAATAAATCAATTTGTCATATCTAAATCCAGTGCAGGTATTTGTGGTGAAGTCAAGAATGTTTCACGGATCCGGAGTGGTTCTGGTTTGGTAGAGCGTGCACGGAGACAGCAAGGTGTTAATCTTTTGAAATGTACTACTTTTGCAAATACTGAAGCTGCTGTCTTTGCGCACAGAATGCTAAACTCAAGTCGACAGAGTCCGTTGTCTGACAGAATTGACAGAAGAGGAAACTCTTGATGAAATCAAAGATCAACCTGTGACTTCGATTTCAGTGAAACGTTTTACAAGAAATGATGGAGAAAACATTGTCCAAACAAATACATATTTGTTCACTTTTTCACTTTCGACCATACCCCAATCTATAAAGGCAGGTTATTTTAACATCGGAGTGGAAGTGTATGTCCCCAATCCACTCCGATGTTACAAGTGTCAGAAGTTTGGACACGGCTCCAAGTCATGCGATCGGCCGATTGTTTTTCACCGTTGTGGTGGAAATCATGACGCCTCAGATTGTACAGCTGACCCCAACTGTGCTAATTGTATGGATAAATATGTTGCGTCTTCAAAATCATGTCCTCTTTGAAATCATGAAAAAGATATATTAACAGTCGAATGTCAAAACAACATTTCTTTTCAGGAGGCTAAAAAAGTCTTTGCCAGTCGGTCACCTCCATCTGCACAAACCTATGCTGCTGCTGTCCCTCGACTTTCTACCACAAGATCTATAGAATGTCAAACTGACTTTCACTGACTGCACACTCTGAACACCCTGTGCCTATGGTTACAACATCTGAGAGTCAGACAAATAATTCAGATACTCAATCATGTGGCATCTCTTCAGTATCTCAGGTTGTGACTCAGGCTATGGCCCCATCTAAACCAACTCCTGAAGTACCAGCAAGTATGTATCAACTGAAATGCCCAAGAAACAAAAGAAAAAACTGAAAACATCTGTAGATGTTCATAATTTCTTTGACCCTCACGAGATGGATGTTACTCCATCTTCCAACAGTAGTGACTCCTCTTCACGTTCAAAAGAGCGATCTCCTATAGAACCATCTTGAACCATTTAAATATACTTCTATGGAATTGCAGAGCACTTAGGCACAATTTTAATGTACTACAGTTATTAACAACAGATTTAATTCCATCAGCAATTTGTTTACAAGAGACGTACCTCAAACATACAGATAAATGTGATTTGAGGCAGTATAGTTCCTATCATTCCTTCTCTCCTCCGGGCGAGAAAGCTACTGGAGGTGCTTCTATTTTGGTGCGGCGGCGCGTTGTTCAAAGTTCCGTTCCGCTTAACACAAATCTTGAAGCAGTTGCAGTTAGATTTACACTGCATATTGCCTTCACACTTTTCTCCTTATAGGAGTCTTCAGCGGAATGACCACAAGAAAAAATAATTTTGTATATTTGGTATTTCAAAAATATACAATTTTGTATAGTTGGTATTTCCAAAACTATACAATTTTGTATATATATGGATAGATTTTACCACTGCTTCATTGAATTTTTTGAACTCGTAAGAGGTTTTCTTGGGGTTTGAAACTAATGTTACCGAACAGTATTTTTGCACGTGACAATAACACGTTAATACTATTTCATTATGGCAACTATATTTGGAGTGTTATGAAATAAGTTTTATTTCTTTATGTTGACAGCATTTTACATAAGAAATAGAACATTTGTGCAGATTTTAGTAACAGATAATGTAAATAATACCGCTGTCTTAATTAGATTGTGGTTTGAAAAAGCACTGTTTGTATAACGAAAGGCTGCTGCTGTTTTAATTAGGTCGGAGTTAGAAAAGCACTGTTTGTTTAACGAAAGGCTGCTGCTGTATAAACTTAATTGGGGATAGAAAAGCACTGTTTGTATAATGAAAGGCTGCCGCTGTCTTAGCTAGGTCGGGGTTAGAAAAGCACTGTTTGTATGGGGAAAGGCTGCCGCTGTCTTAACTAAATCGGGGTTAGAAAAAACACTGTTTGTATAGCGAATGACAGACGCTGTCTTAAATAAATCGGGGTTAGAAAAGCACTGGTTGTATAACGAGAGGCTGTCACTGTCTAAACTAGAATAACCACTAAACGGAATAGCAAGAGAGTAGCCTTTTAGCGATTGTCACGATCATTGCAAAATAATAGATAAAAAATCCATGAATTTAAAATTGTACAAGGAAACATATATAGGAAACACATCGTTGGAATAAATTCCTATTATATTACGTTCACGACATTAGTTCTGGAGTTTTCAAAGTAAAATTTAATATATATGTTTCTGTGATTTCATGTAATGGTGATTCTAAATATGAAATATTAGTTGATATTGTTTGTCAAACAGTTGTACACACCGTCCATTGTGATACTTCTACTTAAGGATGTTTGTTTAGTCAATTGGCATTCGTTCATTGTAAACAAGGATCATTAGTGTGAAAGGATTACTAAGTTTGTCATCCAGTATAATGCACTTCCACGATTAGCATAATTAGAACAGAGTTTGTAATTAGGTACATCCGGACTCCAGTTAATCAAGGCAGCTACATCAGTTGAGAGTGTGAGCAACTGGAGAAGAGGCGAGCAACTCAATGTGATTAATGAATTAGTGGAATTTTAATAAATAAACGAACGCCTGTCGCCAAAATGCATTCGAACATTGAACACGCACAATCGCAGATTTCTATGGTACATTTGAGGGTGAACGTGAACGAAGCCGTGCAGGATGCCTAACAGCGATTTGTCTTGAGAACACATAGCGAGCTCAGGTGAGTTTATTAATGATGATATTTTTATTCATTCATAGATATGGCGATCATGAGCACTGACACTATATGTGTTCGCAATAGAACATTTGGAAGACTAGACACATATTGATTCACTATATGACTACATCAAATCCAGTATTTGTTTAATGCAACAGGTTTAAAGCATTCAAAATTGTGCATTATTATAAAATACAATGTGTGTCGCTTCGTCTCCCATGTAAAATACATTAATTATTTGTTTTAAATATAATTTAATATTACTATAAGTTTTACATTATAACTAAAATTTTTGAGTCTTGCATGTCGAGCCAACAAACTATGTACATATTATTCACAATGGAATTTCTGTTTACTGTGTTTGCGGTGGGGTCCAGACAATTCCCCAAAGGGACAATTCCAAATACTACTGCGTAAAATATTAATGCTGAATTGGAGAAAATTACCAAATGGATGAAAGTAAGTAAAATTGAATCCAGAGAAAACAGAAGCTTTCTATTTCACGTTAAATTAAAGTCTTCCCAAGTGCAAAACCTAATCTTAAAATGAAAGGAATTAATATTTATGACTTTGGGAATAATATTTCAGTCAGATTCTGATATTGACGAGTTAAAAGAAATTCCCTATGATTAATTGCCTTAGAAGTCTTAGATACCTTTCTGGTGTCCACCGCCGTAAACCATAATCACTCACTCAGTTAAATAACTCCTTTCACATAAATCGTTAGAAGTTATGAACAAGCATATAATGCCCATATTTGGGATAATTGTACCAAGAACAAGAATTAATCCTAGAATGTTTCCACTAAGATTCATTCCGGACGCTGAAATATTGCCGATAAGACGTTAAATTTTAACTCACTCACTCAATACGGACTATACGGACTATTTGTGGGGCGATAAGGGGTACAAGCCACGAGAAAATATATAGAGAAACTAACACAGCCATTACACCTTTTTACAAGATAGAAAACATCTTTGCTGTTAGTAATTACATTTATAGAAATCAAACCAATATACAGGCTATATGTTGTAGAACAGAATGCTTTGCCAAGTTATTCCTACCTGATACCATTAATAATTGGAATAGTCATCTGATATAGAGGATTATTAAACTTGGACAGTGTGACTTATATACAGTTAAGCCATGATACCAGATTTTGTCACATAATCCTTTATCGCCTCGGACTCGGTTGTAGTGATTTAAACTTCCATCGGCTTAAAAGACAATATATTAAGAAACGATTCGCCTTTCTATTCTAAAGGCTAAGTGAGTTTATATTCAGTGGTTTATGGGAAACAATTTGTCAATTTAGCTATTTTGAAATCGGTCCATGTACATCCTACGTTCGGGTGAATTTGCACAAATGTTATAACTTAAGAATTAATTCATATTTTAAGACACGTATTAAGTATTAAACAGTTAAATAGCTTTTCTTAGTAATTGAACACCTTTCCATCGACCGCACCAAACTGTTGACCAATCGTTTTTCATGTATTCTACGTCAAATAAGATCAGAACACCTGTATAATTACAACATCCCCAGGATACCAATAACAACGAAATGTACAAATTAACAAACATGACCAACATTATTATTTCATGATAATGTAGGTGTCATGCATGTAATTATAGCTATATGTGT